CTGGAAGAAAGATTTCATCATAAAGAGTTCCTCTTTCTCCATGAAATCGGTCAGCTGCTGACTCATTGGGTTTCATTTTCCTATCCCGAATTTCCCTTCCTTCATCTCGCCGTTCTTTCTTGTGGCTATTTTTGCGTTGAAATCTCCCATTAAACCGTATAGTAGGTTATGGGGGAATACATGGCTCTAGAGATATCCCCCACCTCCTCATCGCGATGTGCCGAAGTTGGTCCGTAAACCTGCATGACCTTCAACGAATACCGTTTGATGATTCTGAGTATAAGATACGCAACCCTCGTCGACACACTCCCAATCTTTACAACGTTGTTAACGAGAGAATTGTGGATGATAAATCCGGTACCTCCTTGGGACAGATGGTCGCCTTTCCGGTGGTAGAACAAGTTGGCGGATTCGAGAATTACCGTGTCCTACACCCCTCTGTTCGAACCTCAGATAATCACATTACACACATATTATACACATATTATATATCACAGCGTAATTTGTTTATCCCTTCTTCCACTCCAGGATCTGCTCGTCAGTCCTCAGGGTAATGGATTAAATGGTGCCAGGTTGAGTCATCTTAGGAAGCAACCGAACTTCGATCGGAGATTCTTAGCACACTGCCCCGTCGTTAACATGGTTGCCACTGTAGCCAGGAATACGGGGACTGGAGGCAGTTTCTTTGTGTCGTTGCTCAAGGTGGGATGTTTGCCGTAGTTGCCACGCCTGCCAAGTGGCTTGGAAATCGCAGTTTTTTATTGATATTTTTTGTAATGAATCTTCTGCTTCAGTTTCCTTCTGTCGCCTCATGCAACACCCATGACAAAAACTGTATAAAATGGTTATTATAATATAAATGAATACATATTTATAGTAACCGCCGGAAGTTAGGTGGTCGCTTTCAAGCTGTTTAATAACATGTTTTTATTACATAATATAAAAAATAAATTCCTATATTTATTATAAATTGGATTTCTTACTGGTTCTTTCCAGGCAAATACTATAGAGCGGACATAGGGAACATTTGCATACAAAAACTTTGAGCTCGCACGTGTGTGACGCGCTCTAGCTAGACATAGCAAAACTACGCTGAATATTTATTAGGAAAACATTTCAGCTATTCCCCAGTAGGTAGCGCTAATAAAAACCTGTTTTAGGAATGATACCGTACCGTTTTGACATCAAAGTATCGATAATGTTGCTGAAGGTTACTAAGTTTGTAATGCTTTACGATATAATAATAGGGAATATGCATGCTTATTTATTGTATAAATCTATTTATTATGACTCCCATCACAGCAAAAAAATCATATAAACTTTTTAAGTCATGAATGAAATGAAATGTCATGAAATAAAATATTTAATTTCCAATAACTAAAAATCGATTCAAATAGCAGTCACATTGGTGGCATCTCGGACGACGTCACTAGGTCCATTAGACGCTATAATAATAGCATATAATTGGTCGGTTGGCGTCGAAGGCACATCGCGAAACGTCAAATCTAATAACAGAGCGCCTCCGTGTTTTTTAAATTCGTTTCTTTTACTATATACAATTTAAATCTAACATATTTTAGGAAAGTACTGAACTTAAAAATCGTTACACGATAAATTATTATACAAATCCACAAGTTTGCGCCTTTACTGCTAAAAAGAACACCTTTGTCGCATCTCCACAAGTTGAGAGCACTTCCCTTATTGCCACAGCCAGTACCGACATATTGAATAACCTGCAGTAGCATGGTCACTTAGAAGAGAAAGCTAAATTGGCTTCTAAAAAGCTTGGCGTACTCAGTAGAGCGGGACAGTATTTCATGCCTGCACACCGTTTGCAACTTTACAAGCGCAGGTTCAGCCTCACATAACCGCCAGTACGGTTTCCGTTGAAATCGCTCAGTTGGTGATCTTCTAGGCTACCGTTGACCGTTAGTTTAGACATAGCAAAGGCTTTCGATCGGGTTTGCCACAAAGTGCTTCTTTCGAAGCTGCCTTCCTATGGGATTCCCGAGAAATTGTCCTATTGGATCACCAGTTTTCTTGCAGATCGGAGCATCAAGTGCGTAATAGACGGTACATGCTCCGATTACAAGCCCATTAACTCTGGTATTCCACAAGGCTGCGTGCTATCACCAACGCTGTTTCTTCTGCATATCAATGATATATGTTGCAAACCGCTAACCGACAGCACTGGTGATGCTTTATACACCGGCCGTGCCAATATTTCTCGCGAAAACGTCGCCGAGTACCGGAACAAACTTGTGTCTGAAGTCGAGACTTTGTTGAACAAAGTCTTAGACCGGGGCAACTAAATCTAGTACAGTTTAATCCTGAGAAGACACAAGTTTGATCGTTTACCGCTGACAATAAGCCTTTGTCGTATCTCCTCAGTTTCAATGCACTCCTCTTGTTGCCTCAGCCAGTATCGGAATCCTCAGTGTCGACATATAGAGCGACGTGCAGTTTCATGGTCACTGGGGAAGAGAAGGCCAAATTAGCCTCTAAAAAGCTTCGCGTGCTCAGCAGAGCGGGACAGTATTTCATTCCGGCACACCGTTTGCAACTTTACAAGGCGCAGGTTCGGCTTCACATGGAATACTGTTCCCATCTCTGGGCAGGGGCTCCCTAGTGCCAGCTCCTTCCACTTGACCGCATCCAGTGCAGAGCGGTTCGAATCATTGACGATCGAGTTGTTTCCGATCGGCCTGACTCACTGGTACTGTGTAGAGATGTTGCATCTTTTTGCGTATTTTATCGCATCCATCACGAAGAGTGCTCTAAGGAATTGTTCCGACTAATTCCAGCTGCCCAATTTCACCATCACACATCGCGACAAAACTCGCGATACCATCCATACCATCTAGATGATTGGCGGTTCACCACTGTGCGATTTAGAAGAAGTTTTATTCCTCGCACCACTTCCTTATGGATTCGATTACCACCAGCGATTTTTCAGGACCGATACGACATAGAGACTTTTAAGAAAAGAGCCTACTCCTTTTTAAAAGGCTGGCAACGCATCTGCAATTCCCCTCGTGTTACAGTTGTTCATGGGCGGTGGTAGTCGCTTACCCTCAGGTGAGCCGCATGCTCGTTTGCCTCCTCTCTTATAAAAAAAAAAACATGGAATACTGTTCTCATCTCTGGCCCGAGGCTCCTCAGTGCGAGCTCCTTCCACTTGACCGCATAGAGAGCAGAGTCGACGCGTCGACGACCGTGTTCTCTTTGATTGGCTCTATTCACTGGCGCTCCGTGGAGATGTTGCATCCCTTTGCATTTTCTATCGTATTTACTACGGGGAGTGCTCTGAGAAATTGTTCGGATTAATTCCATTCACCAAATTTCACCAACATACATCGTGACAAAACTTACGTCACCATCCACATCATTTGAATAGTTGGCGGTCCACTACCGTGCTATTTATTAGGAGTTTTCTTAAAAATCGTTTACCATTGGCGATTTTAATGGACCTATATGACTTAGGGACCTTCAAGAAACGAGTTTACTCCTTTTTAAAAGGTTGGCAACGCATCTGCAATTCTCCTGGTGTTGTAGAATTATATTAAAATTTTAAAAAGAAGGCTATCTTGTTAACTGGTTGTACTGGCTGACATAGGCGTTTCACGTTAAGACCAACGAACGTGTGCCCCGACACAAGGCCGCCCGATTTCTTTATTGGTATGGGTACAGTATCGTTTACTGTTTCACCTCCTTAAATTTTGTAGATAATTAAGTCTGCATCCTGTATAATATTTTTTATCGATAGCACCAATCGATAAACGTTGTCAATCACTAACTCATTTGATGACGTTACTGGAAAACTTATTATAATAATGACTAATGTTTTAGAACAATTTACCAGAAATAATAAAATTTAAAAATTATGGTATACATTATACTTGCAATAATAGGCCGAAATCACATTCAGTTTTTGCTACATATCGGGACTTACAATACCTTAATGCATCGAGTTTTGGCGGGAACTTGACCGGCGTCGGTTTGCTGCTCCTGTGTTATTGTTTAAATAATGGTTTGAAGTGGACTTTGATATGTAAAAGTGGTGCGATTTTGTGTATTAACTGTCTACGCATGTGAACTATTAGTGGAAACGGTGAAACAAGTGCTCTGATGGTGATGGATTCTCAAGATAAGCTGTTTGTCTACATATGCGCCTTTAGATACCATCGCCAACTGTCAGCTGTCTGCTGGCTCAAGTTGCCGTCAAAATCTCCCAAGGGCTGCACAATGTGACGCATCAACATATTGTGAAGCAGTGAACTATGAAGGATAATTATACATTTGGGGAAATTATAATAAACCGAATAAAAATACTTAAGACTTCGCCTAAAGGTCTAGATACCAGGCCATAAACTCCAAAAAAAAATACCTTAATACACAATCGGGCATATTTTCTTTAAAAATATATTTTTTTTAATTTAGGAAACGAATGCGTCTTGAGCTTTTGACGATGTCACTTAGATTAAATGACACAAATCTAAAATATATCCTATAGGACATAAGTAAGAGGTGATCATGTTGTTGCTGATGTCTGGTCTATTATTATTACTTATATGTCTTTGTTTCCAGGACAGAGGCTTTTTACGAATCAGTGGTAAAAGTAGAAAACTATTTTCTATAAGAATCACCTGTAATCTATATTGAATTAAAAAAAATTATGCTAATAGAATAGAATAATTTTTATATATAATTTTAATTAAATTCTAATACAACATAATTCGAAATTAAATAATTTAAATTAAATTAAATTCTAATGAAATATAATTATAATAGAATAGAACAATTTTTTATTAATAAGTTTTATGTTATTGGCTTTAATCTTTGTGAGGATCGGAATGCAGGATTTCTTGCTTTTGTCAGATTGACGTTGCGATGCCACTGACAGATTGCCAGATGGGACAATTTGTCAAAATATCACAAAGATTTTTCAACACGTAGACAAGGAATTTTTAATTTTAGTTGGAAATTCTTATTATTCAACTATGCCTTCAAGTGACAGTGAAGATTTTGAAAGTGCTGACGAGGGCCGGAACAGTCCCAGTAAGAAAGAAAGAAAGAAGCGATTATCTTCGTCAAACTATAGTGACAACTTAGAGTTTGATCTGGAAACCAAAAAAGACGCTCCTTTGGCAAAATCTAATCCCAAAGATGTAGTAAGTAGCAGATTCTACTAAAAGTAAAATGCCTTGTTTACATGTCATCATCATCATTACAGCCCTTCACAAATTTACAACTGAACAGAGGCTGCCCCAAAGGAACTTTAGATAAACTACCCATGTGAGCAGTTTCAAGTATTTAGTGTTTGAAAGATTTACTTTTTTAACTCGAAAATTCATAGTTTTCGAGAAAATTAAAAACAAAAATACCATTTTGACTTATTTACACGTTTAACAGTTGCGTTTTGTTTAAGGAAGTTATATTGGCATTTTATAAAATTAAATATTCTTCATTTGTACTTTACAATTAAAATTAAAAATAACTAATATTGCATTCGTTTCATATTGTATATTTTACAGTTAAAGTTATTTCCCTGTTAAGCCTAATAAGGCTGACAAAACACTATTAAATATTATTGCTACAAATATTTAGGTAAAAGTAGTTATACCTGAAAAACTACTAGCAAAAATATATTTTGAATGATATTGGTTTAAAGTAATTATGATCAAGGCTAGTAGTCTAAATCACTTTTAGCTAGGAGTATTTAGTAAAAATAAAAGTGTATCATAATTTATAAAAGGTTTATTGCCAATCCATTTACTTAATTTACAATAAATTTAAGACCAAAGTAGTTTTTCTTGGCTTATCTAGCTTTTCGCAAGCTAGCTTGTAACTGGATCAGAGACATGTATTTAATACTGTAGGGAAAGGTAATATCAGCAACAGTAGGTTGAGATGCAGCTGGGGTGTCAACATTGAATTTATTCTGCCATTTTAAGGAATAAATCGGATTGGGCCGTTAAAGTGATTTTGACTGCAGATTTATTCAAAAAAAGTTTCTATGGGAATTCCAATAAAAATATGTATATTTGAGGAATTTCTTATATTTAAAAAAAAATAGAAATTTGTTTATTTTGTTATACAAATGTACACTAAGATAACAATGTTGACGCCTGGCAAAGGACGTGTGGAAAGCAATTGGAGTTAAGACATTAACTATTGTATGTTTTCCTTCTACTTTGTCTTTGTCGTACACAGTAGCCAGATGTTGTCTACTTATAAGTTGTAAAATGTATAACTGCCGAACAGTAAAAACATGACAATTAGTATAGTGTTCTAGTTGAGTATCTATACGGCTTAAAAGTCATTGTTTTAAGCAACGATCTTTGAGCTCTCTCAAGTCGCAGAATGTAGGTTTTCCACGTGCCACCCCAAACTCTAATACAATAATTTATTACTGACTGAGCAAGTGCTTATTATACTGTGCAAAGTATATCAAAATCAACCACATACCTTAAATGTTTAAACGCCTAAATTAGCTTCCTTATCTTAGAGGCTTGTAGATCTATATGACTAAGCCAGTTTATTTTACAATCTTAAATGACACCTAGGTATTTAAAATTAACAGATTTATAGAGAATATGGTATGAACATTGTCCATCTTTCAGTAAGTTACAGCAATGTAACTTGATTGATATATTTCCAGCGTGGTTTTCCTTGATATTAAACTGCATAAAAGTTGTTTTTGATAGGTATAGAGTAAGTAGATTGGGTCTTAGCCAGCAGTTTACCTTGTGTAGTCCAATTTCAGCATTTTTACAGAATTACAGTAGTTACTCTGTTTAAGCACTTGTATAATCACCTTCAACATAAAGCTGTATTAATATGAAACGGAGTTTAATGCTTAAATAAAAATTAACTAATAATGCTAATTTAAAATATATTAAACAATTATGTTATTTTTATTCAGTTTTAGTTTAATTAATAATTTTAACTTGTTGATTGATGAACATTTTTGTGGGGATTTTGTTTTAAAAGCCTAAATAGCCCTAATTACTTGGCTTGTTACTTTTATGTATTTTATATAGAAGAAGGAGATGTCATCTCCTTTATCAAACTGTGAAAAGTCTGGTGGATTTTAATATCCTCTAGAGCACAATTTTGTTTGTGATTTTTGTCTTAATGTACAATAATGCTCTGTTATACACCACAGCGGCTTTTTACACAGACATGTAATTTTAAATGAATCGTTATTTAAAATTTTGTGGTTGCATTTTTTAAATTTGTGTTGTTGTTGTTGCTGTTTGTCGATTGTATTTGCAGGCGAAATCTGTGGATGGTTGGGATGACTTCGATATAAATGAGGAGGCTGAATCTTCAACAAAAAACATATCAGGAAAGGCAAATGTTATAAAATCAGATACAAAGCCCACTAGTGTTTTAAACACAAATGCAAAAAGCGAAATACAACCTGAAAAATCACAAGACACAGGTTGGGATGATTTTGATGATTGGGGAGATACTGAAACATCCTGTAATATAAAAGAGGTAAACAACTTAATTACCTGTCCACAGCATATATATTAATAAAACAGGATTTATTATTGTAATAAATATAATAATAATCCAAACAAATTCATTGACTATGTTAAAAATATATATAAAATTTAATCAAATATTTTACATTCATTTAATTTCTTTAATTTTATTTGTAATAAAGGTATATATCTATACATCTATACATATATAATCTGTAATATTAAAATAACTGCCTTTAATCAAGCTCAGGAGATTAAATGCATGCCATTAAAAATGAATAAACATTTGTAAAAATTTTGTCTGTCTGTCTGGGCTAATCTTCTTTGGAGACTATGTCGTAAAGACAACTTGGAGACTTTTTTGTGAAAATGAAATATATATATATATATATATATATATACATATCCTATATATTATCATGTAATAATACAATATATGTAATCATTACTTACTATAAAATTTTTGTCTCTTAATTTAAGAATAATTGCAAAATGAGTTTTTATACTTATCTTACATGTTTTTTCTTATAGGATAAGGGTGGCAAGCGAGTGCGTGATAGCTCAGATGGTTAGCGCTCGCTGTAAATTTCACAGTACGCAAGCAACCCGAGTTCACTCCCCGCCGGCACCAATGAAATTGTTAATTGCAATTTTAAGTGCTGATTTACCACATGCTCGGTGGTGAAGGAAAACATCATGAGGACAACTTGCATGTCTGAGAAATACGAAAAAAAACATTTTCGAAGACATGTGAAGTTCGCCTACACGCATTGGGGCAGCGCGGCTGACATTTCATTTCCCTAAAACCTTCTCTGAAATGAGGGGAGGCCTGTGCCCAGCAGTGGGACGTTATATACGTATGCTGTAACTTTAAGGTTGACAAGCACACAGTCCACCTGATGGTAAGTGGTTTCTGCGGCCCATAGACTTCTACATCTATCCTCATTTGCGAATCAAAATGCAGGTTGGAGACTAAGATGGAATGCCTCTTTTCGAGTAAAAATGGTCTCCGGTTCTCTACACTCACCATATGAAACACAGCAGCATGACGCTACTATTTTATGCTGGTATTCTATGAGAGCGTGGTCCTTCCCTGATCGATCCGACCCATTCGTGCTACAACTATACAATTAATATAGTACCTATCTATTATAATAATATCTTGGTTAAACTTAGTGTATATCGCAAAACTGGTAAATGTCCCTATGCCATTACTGTATCAAGGTTATAAACCTATTTGTGTAGTTTCCATTAATTACTATTTTCAGGATCAGCTAAAGCCACAGAGTGAAAAGAAACATTCAAATATTAAAGATGTGACAGAGAGATTGGCAGCAGCTTCCACAAAAAATGAAGGTTGGGGATGGGGTTGGGGTGTAGACTCAATATTCAGCACTGCAACTGCTGGAATCAGTACACTTACCAGTCAAGTTTCACAGGTATGTGTTCAGATATTTGTCAATCATATGTAAAGAGTTTGAAAGTCGGTTTTCTTGTTTCAATGTTAATTACAATATTATTTATATTAAAAATTTGATATATTCACATGTTGGTTTATACACTCCGATAAAGCCATTAGTTTTTTTTTTTTATAGAATAAGCGTGACAAACGAGCACACAGTCCACCTGATGGTAATTGGATGCTGTGGTCCATAGACATCTACATTTATCCTCCATTAAGAATCAAAATGCAGATGCTTTGTCACCCATAAGGACTAAGCGGGAATGCCTCATTTCCAGTAAAAAGGGCCTGCGATTCTCTGCACTCACCATACGAAACACAGCAGCATTAAGCTGCTATTTTACGTTGGTATTATGTGAGAGCTTGATCCTACCCTGGTTGAGCCGATCTACTTGTGCCCTACCACGTATACGTATAATGTAGTTCATGTAAGCAACATATACAAGATGGAATACCTCTATCTATAGAAAGCCACAAGGTCATTCTGGACTTTCCCATGGTCAAAAGTAGAAATGTGGCAATGTATTCTCTTAGCCCACCATCGTACAGCATGGTACCAGGCTTGCCTTTTATCACCTAGGTATGACTTACATCACAATCGCATCTGCTTATGCTTCACATATACAGGGTTATTTTTCAAAGAGTAGCAAAATTTTAAACTTAAGTTCAAATTAAAAAAAATGATATATCGTTATTGCAGTTTTTGAAAATATGAGTAAATAAGACTTTGATTTTTATTTGAAATTATCCCAAATTGAATATGATTTATGGGCAACAATGTTTTTGCATACCGTTCGATCCTTACGAATGTGTGCGTGCGCATTAAAATCAGTTTAAATAATACATTACTACGCATTTTGTATTTAAAAAATAAAGGACAGAATTATTGAGATTTATTTTTCTTAATTTTTCTTCACCTATATTACTTATTCTGAACCTTCTCTGCAAATTTGGTCGGTTATTGCAAACCCTGTATAGATCACAGGAACTAATTTTTTTGTCATCTATATTTTATTCCCCAATACTATTTATATTTTCAGGGTATTTCTACAGTCCTAGAAACAAGCATTGGTGCACCGGATCCAGAAGAACTTGCTAGAAAATCCAAAGATGTTCATAGCCAGCAAACTTTGTCTAAAGAACCTAGCATTGAAAAACCACAGTTCGACATTTCTAAGAACACTGATAATGAAACGTCATTTCAATTTGGTAGTCTTATATCTGAAGTGACTAAATTTGTTGAGACGACTGGTTAGTGTTAATAATAATTTTCAAAACATAACAATTATTTACGCTCTTCAATTCAAATTAATTTATCACGATTTTCAATTATTGCTATACAGTACAAAATAAGTCTAATTATTATGACCATACTCACTATCATCTCTTCTACAGATCTTTTTCAATTTGGACAAATTTGCTGTATTATTCATACCTACTTGGTACTTAGATTGAGAATTTCCGTTAATTTAAAAACAAATTTAACAGACCGAATTTTGATTACTGTAGATAGTCTCAACGGAGATCATCCATATGCGTAGAACTAGGTTACAGGCCAAACGTACATAATATAGAAAGCACAGCTTCACTTTCTGTTCCCCCGTTCTCATAGCCATTGGGACGGCAATCCGACAAGTCTTGCCAAGTTAAACACTGCTAAGTTCCTGAGTCTGGGCTAGTACTGAGAAATTTGGGACAAAAAATTCGATAACTGTTTTTGGTTTAACCTGGGATTCGAACTCGGGATCACATGATCAGGAGTCGCGCTTAAAAGTAAACTTATTTATTTAAAAAAAAAACTTGAAAACATGAGTGTACAACCAGTGCGTGTTGCTAGTGATGACATTTGAATCTGAGAATATAGAAGGCTATGCTCTGAGTTTCTCTGCATAGTCTTCGGAATGAGGATATCCACAATAGAACTAGAGTATCCAGCATATCCCAGCGGATTATTTCTTTAATAGAATAAGGGAGACAAACGAGCACGCAGTCCACCTGATGGTAAGTGGATGCTGTGGCCCATGGACATCTACATTTATCCTCGATTAAAAATCAAAATGCGGATGCGTTGTCACCCCTGAGGACTAAGATGGAATGCGTCGTTTCCAGTAAAAATGGTCTCCGGTTCTCTACGCTCACCATACGAAACACAGCAGTATTAAGCTACTATTTTACGCTGGTATTCTGTGAGCGCGTGGTCCAAGCCCGGTCGAACCGACCTATTGGTGCTGCATGCTGCAGCTATATTAATTGTATAGTTGTATACAATTAATATAGCTGCAGCATATTTCTTCACATTTCGTTAATCATATATTTCACTACATTGTCGAATGATGTAAATAGGACACAGCTAGTGTTTGTCACTTACACGTAAGTGTAAACAAACATCAATCACCGTATGTCTATAGTGCACCCGTCTCTATCGTACTTTTAATTGCCGTCTCTTTTTTTCTAACCTTAAGTTAAAATATTAGGAAAATAATAGAAATATACTAATAAATCGAAGTCTATTGCATTCTTACATGTGATTCCTTGTGTTTTGTTTTAACTTTAGAATCATAATCGCTATTTGTGTAAATAATTTGTGTAATAAACCTTCACACACGATGGCATTTTATTATTGTTAAAATTTTCTATGCAACATCTTTCACGTCGCCCTGCGTGACGCGGACTAAAGACAAAACGTTCTAATTAGGACGTTTTCCGATCTTCACTGCACACGCTAACAACATATCTGCTTCTTTTTGTATATAATTTTAATACGTATATGTTTTTTATATTTCTTACTTTTGTTTTACAGGGACTAAAGTGCTAGCTGGTGGATTGGACACATTAGAAACGATAGGCAAGAAAACTATGGAAGTTCTTCAAGACGGCGATCCAGGGCTAGCAAAGAAACGCGCCATGCTTGGCCTTGATCCGGCTGATAAACCGGTGCTGTCTCAAGTTCTGAGAGAAGCAAAGGCAAAGGCAGAGGAAGAAGACAGAATTAGAGAACAGAAGCGGGAAGCCAAGGAGGTTCATTATGAAAGTCTGTTTGATGATTTTGAAGGTAAGCTTATTACGAACATTTTACATTACAGCTACTGGTGTTCTGTGTAACACATACAAGATAAGATTGAAGCTTTGGAAGTGTATTAAACATGCAAAAATCATAGATTTCTTTAAAAATAAGTTAAGGAACAATTTCTTACCCTCTAATTTGTACCTCTTTCTCTCATCTTTTCTCATGCTTTTATGATCACAGATTCGCCGTTATAAGTATATTTTCTTGACTACGAAGCCACTGAATTCCTACCCTACTGTTGCCGAGTCATTACTCAAACAAAATGTAAATGTATGTACAAGCAAATTTCATAAAATTTATCAGGACATATTAACATTTAACTTTTCATATAACATAAAAACATATAACATTTCATGAAATAATATCAGGAGATATTTTAATATATTTCAAAAGTAATGATTTCTTATATTTACGCGTACACTACACATTGAATAAAAGGATGTGAAGCTATTGAAATTAAAAAACATCCCAATTTCAATAGAGAGGGAGGCTGGGTGCTACCACCTGCTTGGGATCCTGTAATTAATAAAATTAAAACTAAACCCAAGAATATTACTGCAAGACTTCACGACACAGTAAGTTCATTCTGCATAGATCGAACCAAAAATTAATAATTAAGAAAGCTGAAGGTACTCCGGGTTAATAATCTGTGGTAAAAGCATAAATAACTTTCATTGAGTATTCTCGTAATCTATATTGGATAAGAGTTATTTTATTCTCTTATATTGTATTCTATTTGTAGAGTCCAGATCAAAGTATTATTTATAGTGCATTCTACCCACAAGTGTATCTCACGTTTTATTTCCTTCTTGTAGGTTGTTTGAATAAATTGCTGCATTAGAAATAAGACTATTTGTTTTCTATCTATGAGTGTTTATTTTATTATGTGATTTGTTTTTCTTTTGTGTGCTATATATAATATTGTTGTATATATTTTTTTATAAATGTAAAAAAATTATATTGAATGAAGGGAGGCTATCGCTACACAATCAGATGTTAAAAACTTATTAACTTTGACTTTAAATAACAGTATTTTGGCACAAATGTTGTCTCCAAATGGAATCTAAATACATGACTCGACGTACCTAATGACCAATACCAAAACCAAGACCAAGACCAAAAATACTACGACCAATGAATCAATCATATGCATTTGTATTTCAGGTTTGGTTCATCTAGAAGCTCTTGAGATGCTATCGAGGCAGGTCAGCATGAGGATAGATGAACGGTTGCGATCAGTAGACCCTAGTAAGCGGCAAGACATCAAAGAGACTTTACAACAGGTTGCCGGTATGTACATTTATCCTTCATTAACACAGTAACATCTAGCTGTTTTGATTTGACCTCACGTCTATACAAATAAATAAAATTGAAGTTTCTGTATGTAATGTTAAATAACAACTTTTTACTAAATGCATATGAAAGTATGTACAGTACTTATAACAAAAAAAAAATATTTTTGAATTTTTGTCTGTCTGTCTGTTTGTTCCGTCTAATCTCTGAAATAGCTGGACCAGTTTTGACGAAACTCACTGGCAGCTAGTGGATGTTATAACTAGTAACTAAGGCTACTTTTATTTTAGAAAAAGAGTTAAAATTTCGCGCAAAAAATATTTAAACGTCGATGAAGTCGTGGGGAACAGCATGTTACTAATATGCTCTAGAACTATGCTAATTAATACATAGATGGCGCTTATTTCCTAAGTTAACACTATACTTGTTTAAGGATCGATTTCAACATTTTTCAGTCATCAACTGACATCGTAAATACTTAAACAAATACATATTTGAAGTGTAGCTATTGTTATCCATTAACTAAATCCTACAGATTAACACCTTCAAAACTCCGAATGTTCCTATGAGTGTTTTTATACAAGTAGCATTGATGAACGAGCACACATTCCACTAGATGGTAAGCGGATGTTGTAGTTCATAGATGATGGAGTCTAATATACCGCCATTTATTGATTGACAGTCATCGATCACTAATAAAAAACTAGATACACAATCCCATGCAAATGTTCTCTAAAAACTGTTGCCAATTGTTTTGACGTAATTCTAGTTGAAATAAATATACATTAATGTAAATTGAACCTTAAATACATTGTCTAAAGTTGTATTCACAAAGCTACGTACAAAATAAAAGCGCACCCAAATGTTCGAGTGAGCGCTCATTCGGTAAGGACATTTTTTTCACCGATTGTGTATCTAGTTTTTTATTAGTGATCGATGTTGACAGTACTGGTACTTCAGTTACCAGGGCACTTTGGTAAGGTGAAGCTCAAACTAACTATGATAGATAGACAGGAGCACTGCTATCACGTCTATCGGCTATACGTGGTAGAGCCATACTGCAGCTATATTAATAGTATAGTTGTAGCACGAATGGGTCGGCTCGACCGGGGAAAAACCACGCTCTCACAGGATACCAGCGTAAAATAGCAGCTTAATGCTGCTGTGTTTCGTATGGTGAGTGTAGAGAACCGGAGACCCTTTTTACTGGAAAAGAGGCATTCTATCTTAGTCCTCACGGCTGACAACACATCTGCATTTTAATTCGCAAACGAAGATAGATGTAGATGTCCATGGGCCGCAGCAACCACTTACCATCAGGTGGACTGTGTGCTCGTTTGTCATCCTTATTCTATAAAAAAAAATCTATTATAGCATTAACTATGATAGATAGACGAACATGTTAAGAAGTAATTACGAACCCGTGCTCAACTTTTTGACAAGTATTCGCCGTCCGTAAAAGTTCACTGCTGGACGCACACATACGCATCTAAATCCATGTTGTTGCTTGCAAATGACTTTTTGATGTATGTGTTTCACACAGCTATATTATGACTGTAGCACGAATGGGTCTGCCCGACCGGGGAAGGACCATGCTCTCATAGAATATCAGTGTGAAATATCAGCTCAATGATACTGTGTTTCTTATGTTGAGTCTAGAGAACCGGAGACTATTTTTACTGGAAACAATATAGTCCATCTTCATCCACAGGGGTGATAACGCATCTGCATGTTCATTCTTAATCAAGGATAGATGCAGATAGATACAGGAATAGTTTACCACCAGCGATTTTTCCGGACCGATACGACTTAGGGACCTTCAAGAAAAGAGCCTACTCCTTTTTAAAAGGCGGGCAACGCATCTGCAATTCCCTGGTGTTACGGTTGTTCATGGGCGGCGGTAGTCACTTACCATCAGGTGAGCCGCATGCTCGTTTGCCCCCCTCTCCTATAAAAAAAGGTGAACTGTGTGCTCTTTTTTCACCGTTATTCTATAAAAAAAAGGGGTGAAGTAGTTATTTCGAGAAGAACTAGTTAGAACTCCTTTTCCAACTATGTATAAAGAGTTGTAAACTATTGAATACAGGATTGTAATTGTCATGTAACTAACGTATTGGTAAAAACTACATTGCACTATGCAGAGCTGTGTGAAATGCCTGATGATGATGAGGAAGAGGAGATGGAGGAATCTGGCGATATGTCTAAACCTGACGCCTTGCACGAACGCCTATTGGCGTCAACCCGCGACATAGGACTGAAAATGCAGTATCAACCTCTTATCAAGTAAGTATATTTTTTTTAATAAGTCTGAAATGACAAATAATATTACAGCCCACCTGATGGTATAGTTCTTGCAATGAGGGCATCCACTTTTTCAACCACCAGGGCGGCGTCACTAGAAAGTGAGGTATAATATTTGACAGATTTCATAGCGGGGAAGTTAATTTGTTCGGAAAATGTAAAGGTTATTGTTTCTTTTTGTACTATGTTATATTTATATTTTGTTATGTTTTGTTTTGTTATATTTTATATTAATAACATTAAAAATAAATAAACTAAACCACAGATATTCATAAAAGTAGAAAAGCAAAGTTTAAAATGTGCAAAAAATTAAACAGCAAACCACTAACGCATTGTTGTGTGTATTAATATAATACTCTAGAAACTGATAAACTTTGATTAAAAAACAACTTCTCAATTAAATTACATTGTGTAACAAAAAACTTTACCTTAGTGTCAACTAGCGACATCTGGTGATCAGAAAATCATTAGCCCTCATTCAGGAAGTCTAGGGGGCTTTACTTATATTATATAATTATACTATTTGCATAATTGTCAAGACCAAAAGCGGGTATGGTTAGCGACGGCACGCTCGCAACTGACACGCACACTATCGTTATGTTCATATACACGTTCAACCACGAGTAAAGCTAAAGTCCGCTCGGTTTCGTGAATAGCGAGAACTTTAAATGGCTACTGCAGTCCATGGACCCCGGCAACCAACATGAATCAAAAAAAGTAGACTACAGATGCGTTGTCACCTCTGTGGACTAATATACACCCCACAGCCATCGATCACTAATAAAAAACTAGATAGATACACGGCGGTCATTAAAAATAAACTCACTAGTAATTGCATTCTAACCTTAGACTATACACAAGCAAGCTATAGAGCGCCCGTATCGCTCATTGCTCATTATGCCAGGTGTAAACAGATTTACTATAGAAACTGATATTTATAGAAACAGATACTTCATAGATGAAGCGATTGAATAGTGACGCGCCATGATTGACTTCTATGCGTTATAGTACTTTAATTAGGGAAGTGTATAGTGAATATTAGGTAGATATGTAGGTAGGTTATAGCAGATTACTAAAACACAGGTATGAACGTTTAAAACAATGTTTATTAATCAAACACAAAAATCTAATTAACATATTGACACTTAAAAAACGTATAAATAACGTAACTTATTTAAAAATTGTCGTTTTGTTTGCTTGTTCGCAGTTATAGGTGCAAGATATTTCATTCTAATGTCAATATATTTTTGAATTTCATCCAATAGTTTTGAAAGAAATCGTGGACATACACACGTAATAACGTAGGTACCTACATAAATAACTGCCGAAGCTAATTGTTCTAATCGCTTTAAAATAAGTGCAATCATACTTCAAATTTAGGTCTGGTGGTACCCAGCTTGCGCAGTCCACCCTCGATTTCAAAAATAGATGATCCACTAAAATGGATAGGACAAACAAAACTTCTGATGTTGAGATCCCAGTTGCGAGTTTTAATTGCTGCCACCCATTTATTAGCCAATTTAAGGCTTTTCGGAAATCTGAAATTAGAAAAGTATTTTAAATTTATTTAACTTTATTATAACTAAACTATTTAAAAGTTTATTTGGTTAAGGTTTAGAATCAAGTCGCCTTAAGAGGGGATTGGGGGGCGTGGGAAAGGGGTAGGGGGAGTGGAATATTCGCTCCCCACCTTTTTTCCCCGTCTATTTTTTAAATTAAATGTTGAAGATTAAAATTTTTATTGAATGATTTCTGAGAAAAATCGCTTTAATAGGGGGGGGGGGGGGGAGGGCGTTCCGCCTCCGCAATTACTCCACTATCGCCAAAATTCTCTGGATTATTGTAATTATCTTTTTTAAAAACGGAATGACGCGAGTCGCGAAGTCGAGTTTAACTGTCCCTGTCACTGTCAATGTCAATTTAAGTTCAGTTTCAGGTGTTATTTAGTGATTTATAAGCCTCCTTGACCCACCCACCCCACCCCCACCCCACCAGTAACAGACTCCTCAAATTCAGGTGACTTGATTCTAAACCCAACACGTTTATTTTAGTAATTGATCCTTATTATAGGTTTGTAATACAAATGATCTTAATTTCAAATACTATGATTATATTATTATTACGAAAGAACTCATGTTATTACAAAATCAGCGCGAGTGTCGTAGCGTGACTAATAGTGTCGCGTCGCAATTTCGAGACTTAATATTGTGCTTACTGTTCATACACACACACACATATATATATATATATATATATATATATATATATATATATATATAGCTTGCTTATGTATACTGTAAGATTCTAACCATATTAATAAATCAGGCAATATACGGAAACCCTGGAGTGGCTGTCAAGTGATCCCGATTTAACAGAAAAAGCCATCTACAAACGTGCAGTGAGCAGCCTCGCTCAAGCGACAGCATTTTCAGTGGAGGTCTACCACAAAACCGCTGAGATGTTGCTAGTGAAGCCTAGAAGGTCTACCGCAGACGAGGCTGATGCCCTAACGCAGTAAGTTAATGTTCTATATCGAACTTTTACACTGTGTCGTTAGAGTCTATTGTCTGCAATGCTAGATAAATTAGAACATCGCTTCCGATAGTTGATGGTATGCTATATCTTGTTTATGCCACACGAAAATTAAAAACAAATATATCTAAAGATAATTGATTATCCTTTTAAGTTTGAAGGCTCCGTGGCGCAGTAGCTTAGCAATGAGTTGCAGCTCTAAGGGCCGCGAGTTTGAATCACGTACTGAACAAGTATTTCTATGGCCTACAAATAATTGTTCTGAGTCTGGATGTTTATTATACAGGGTTAATATTTTTCAAAGAGTAGCCAACTTTTAAACTTAAGTTCAATTTTTTTTTTATAGGATAGAGTGACAAACGCTCACAGTCCACCTATTGGTAAGTGGTTGCTGTGACCCATAGACATTCACATCTATTCTCAATAAAGAATCAAAATGCAGATGGGTTGTCACCCGTAAGGACTAAGATGGAATGCCTCTTTTCAAGTAAAAAGGGTCTCCGGGTCTCTATACTCACCATACGAAACACAGCAGTGTTAAGCTGCTATATTACGCTGGTATTCTGTGAGAGCGTGGTCCTTCCTCGGTCGAGCCGACCCATTCGTGCAACAACTGTACTACTATAATATAGCTGCAGCATGGCTCTACCACGTAAGCATAAATATATAAATAATGATATACCGTTATTGCACTTTTTGAAAATACGAGTAAATAGGGCTTCTACTTTTATTTTTAAATCATCCCGAATTAAATGTGATTTATGGGCAACAACTACGCATACGCGCGCCGCTCTGTGTACGATTCAATTCACAACGTTTTTGCCGACCGATCGACCCTTACGAATGTGTGCGTGCGTAGTAAAATAGTAGGCGTTAGATACTTATGAATGACAATCAGTTAAAATAATGCATTACCACGAATTTTCAATTTAAAAGATAAAAAGGACACAATGTTTGCGATATTTTTTAATTAATATTTCTTCACCATTTGCCTATATTACTTATTCTAAACCTTCTCTGCAAATTTGGCCGGTTATTGCAAAATAACCCTGTAGATATACATTCTGCGAAAGGCACTATCCTCTATCTCAATCTGTCTCCAACTATACGCATGCATTTGTTTCTCTCTGGTTTGCCAATAACTGAATACTAATTGGCTATCAGTCACAAATGCTCCTTTGAGATGGGGGTTTTATACGCGTTCAACAAGCTGTACACTTAGTGGTAAGCGCTACTGAGTTTTTATGTATTTCAGAATGACCGTAGTGCTAACGAAACACATTGGCGATATTGCCACGCTGTTCACCGAGAAATTGAATTCCATCACCAGCGAGGACAAGGAACAAGTCAACAGTCACATCACCAATATATTTTTGGAGGTATGTTACGTACCGTATGTATGTATTATTCTTCATAACAGGGTTGGCTGATTTAGAAATTAATAAGGCATTAAATTGGCCCATAGTGACCTCTCTGCATAAAAGCAATCTATATATAAAATAAATGTTTTTTTTTGTTTGTGCCATATGCATAATATTATACTATTCATCCGATTACGATGAAGCTTTGGTGAGTTATTGTGTAACGCTCGCGAAGGTTTGAGGCAAAAAAAATGTTTCTTTGTTTTCTTTGCCATTTATCACGATAAAACTGGTTATTTGTTTATGTACGCGCCCGCGATAAAATTATAAACTAGTCCTTGACTATCTTACCTGATGATAAGTGATGTTGTAGCCAAATATTCTGCTGGACAAATGTGCATACAATACCTTCCTCGCACAACCTCTTCGTGGAATCGTTTACCACCGGCGATTTTTCCGGCCCGATACGACTTAGGGGGCTTAAAGAAAAGAGCTTACTTCTTTCTAAAAGGCCGGCAACGCGCCTGCAATGCGCCTGCAATACCCCTGGTGTTGCAGTTGTTCACGAGCGGCGGTAGTCACTTGTCATCAGGTGAGCCGCATGCTCGTTTGCCGCCTCTTCTATAAAAAAATGCATGCAGCTTTAATGTAGGAAATACCCGCCTTAAATTATTTTCGTTAGTAAATCTACTTTATTTAATATGTCAAATATCTATTGCAATAAATATTCTTGAATGTAAAACACACATAATATTCACTTCTTTGTTTCTTTTCACAGGCTGACAACAGTTCCAAATACATCCAGAACGCGTTCCATTTGGCGTTACCTATCATACAAATAGGCGCTGTTTAAAATGTGATTAATAAAAGCATAATTTATAAAGTGCATTATATAGATAAGTTGTATCGTCCACATTTAGTAACAAATTATTCTCTTTTAATATATCTTATTAAAATTCTAATAAAATACATTTTTATTAAGACGAAACTATTCTTTAATATGATGTTATTTCATGTATTGTTTTTGTTTTTAATTTAATACTTTACAATTGTGATATTATTTGTATGTATATATAAGTACATACATACATACATAAACACTCACGCCTGTCACCCAGAGGGGTAGGCAGAGACTACGGACTTCCATTTGGCGCGATCCTGACACACCTCTCTCGCCTCTTTTACATCCATATATCTACGCATACACGCTCGTCGGTTATGGGTACTCCTAATCTGGCCCATTTTTAATATATATAAGTATTTGCATTTAATATATAAAAAAATATATATCGCATCTACAAGTATAAAATTATGTTAATAAAATTCATCACCATTGCCAGTATACTGATTTCTGTTTTGATAGAAATTACATATTTTATTAAAACACCTACGTAGTTTATTCAAAAGGCAGTATTGATTGAAATGATAATATTCTATGTCATGATCATCTGAGAGAGTTTCATTATGGTTTTGGGTATCTATTCTCTTGTTGTTGTTTTTTTTTTTAAATTTATAACATGACCGATGGATACAGTCCTTCAGACGAAATATTAAAAAGTTACATTTAAATCTATTCCCTTATATCTGTACTGTTGCCAGATGTACGACCACTACCATGTTTTACGCTAATTTGTGTCGTGTATTCATTGATCATGTAATGAATTGTAGCATGCAAGCCGTACAATAAAACTAGAACTCAACCAATATTCATTTTTAAATATATTATTATGCACATATGTACTAAATTATTATTAGATAATTATAAAGTAAGTTTATTCTGACAACTCAGTATCTTACATCAAAGGCCATCAAACTCAACCTGCCTCAACCCCAGGGCCGAAGGCTCTTTCATTGCATTATGTGTTAACTGTGCGACCTCCCAATTCGCAATACAACGCACCGATGATAGATGGCGCTAGCTACTAAAAGGTACTGTAGACAAATAAAAGCGCTAGGATCTGACACTGAAAGGACTAAGTTGACTTCGTTGGTGCTCACTTGGCGCACCATAATTTGTGATGGCACGGATTTTTATATGTAGGATACTGCAACGGCAGCGCTAAAGTGCCGTGTAGATGATGCAATGCACCGTGTGACTTCGTTCTTATAGATTTTAAAATATCGTGCAGTGTGATTGCAAGCATATGCATGCAAAACTTAGTAATTATGGCAGTGCCACTGTGTTAAGGCTACGACAAAAGTGGGTTGGCTCGACCGACTGACCGAGGGCCATGTCCGCAGCTTAGTGTTGCTGTGTTTCGTAGGGTGGGTGACAAAAACCGCAGACGCTTTTTACTGGTGACGAAACATTTGTCCTCAAGTGTGACGACGCTTCTGTATTTTGATTCTTAATTGATGTTAGATGTAGGTGTATATGGGCTAGAGCATCCACCCACCATCAGGTGGGTTGTATGCTCGTATGTCACCTTTACTTTTATATAAATAATCGGAAGATTAAAATGTATGGAAGATTATCCACAAATACATGTAAAACAGTTCAAAAAAAATTTGTTGCTATTTTTACGGGGCACAGTTCAGCGACTCGTACAGTTTCTTTTGTAGAAATTTCCATCAGACCTAATTTCGGTCATGGTGATCAGTCTCAATGTAGACAACCGTCTCAATGTGGACAGGTATATAGGACATGTGTCGCAAGCACGTCATCTCGTGGTAATCCGATATGACTGGGGAGAAGCAGGCAACACTCCATGACACTTCTTCTACAAACGTTGTCACTTCTACGACAGACTAGTGACGTAATATATAAGTCCCCAGTACCCAGATCTACCCAGGGGAAGGCGAGCCAAGCGTTTCGATGTGTCAAATCATTCTTGCTGAAGGTGATGGCCATGTACAACAGTGAACTGGTACGGATTTATGAGATAGTGATAGAGGAAAAACGATATTACCGATTAACAATTAAACGATAAATTAACGATAAAACATACAATAGTTACTTCTGTTTTTTATGATTTACTTCATATTTATAAATATTTAATATATATGTCACCGTGAAGGTATAAGCACCGTGGGCTGTAAGGGACGACAGAAGGAAACAAACCAGGAGATGGACCCACAGCGGAGATATACATACAACAAAAATTATAACTAGTTAATAGAAAACTGCGGCTGTGTGAGTTTATTAAGTTATAGCTGTCCACTGCCTGGTAGGCCAAGCGTGGCAACTTTGGCAAATATCGTCCGTATGAAGTAATCTATGGAAACGAAAACGTTCAGCTGTGGACTTTATAGGCTGTAATAAATGAACGAATGAATGGAATATCAATTATAACTATTGCTTAACGATCACTTCAGATCTTCAGAATATCTTAAACAATGAAGGCATACATGACTTTTTCTGCCACCAGGGCGGCGCCACTTAGAAATGAGGTGAAATATTTGACATCTCATGGCGAGAGAAGCTAATTATAAAATGAATCGGTAAATGTAAGGGTTAATGTTTATTTTTGAAATATTAGTTATATTTTATATTAATATTAGAAATGTTAGTTACGAATATTCGTAAAATGTAGAAAAAAATTTAAAAAGAAAATCACTGAGGCGTTTTGTGTATTTTTTACACAGTCTAAGATCCGATAAACTTGTATTTAAAATGCAATTTGTCAATTATAATGACATTGAGCTTTAAATGTTTAGCCCTCAGTAAGATAGTGATTGGACTGTTGGACTCTGTTTTTTCCGGCGCCATATTTACCTCCACAAAAACATTAATAAAATAGTCAGATTATTTTTTTTAATAATTGCTATTAAGCTATGAATTCTTTCAATCAATAATATTTATAGGTGTAGAATGTTATTGATGAAATAATCCTAATTATAACCTCAAAATACCGAAAGTAATTTTGAACCTAAAACCATAACTGTCAGGAGTGTCCGTTGTTATTTGTAATTTTAGTCTAAGAGTAGTCATTATTGACAATATAGAATGTGATTTTTGGGCTATTGGCTCTTAGGAGAACAATGTATGAAAGCAAAACTGTCATTCGATATTGATAGGTATATTAGATATAGGTAATATTTACTTTTACACATCTGCGACAATAAAGTAGTCTTGAACACTATTTGCTTTGTAATTAATTAAATAGAGAATTTTGTTATCATATTCTATAATAAACTAAGAAAAATATTCAAGTTTGTTTTAATTCATTTCCATTTTATTTCATTCCCGTCGACTTACAAGCAGTTCGCTGCCGGCCGTTTGACCTATGGGCTATACGCTGTTCTCGTCATCGGTGAGTATTTCTATTACAAAATTATCGAGGTGATTAGAAGCTTTTGATGAAACTGTTGAAGTAAGACATTTTTTTCTACCTTGGAGGCCATCTGAGTTACCAGCTTCCTACCTCAGCTGCAGTGGCAGTGGCGCACATTCGAATTTGGCTCGCCAAGCCCACTATGAATGGCCATCGCTATCGTCCGTCGTATCGTCCGTTCTCTATGATATGGTCATTTGTAACATACTAGTGATATTTAATTACCATCCTTTGCATGTCTCTTTAGCAATGGTTATTAACAAAAAAAAAAGTTTTCAGACGACTTCAAAAACTAAAAAAAATTCATCACACATGCTTCCACTCTTAGGGGTGAACATTTTCTTAAAAATTATATGGTGGTATAAACTATTTAATGAAAGAAAAATCAAATCCGTTAGTAAACAAAAAAGTTATGCCAGAACATACATAAATAATATACATACAGACGAATTGAGATTACTCCTCCTTTTTTAAGCCTTTTTTATCACGTGGTAGAGCCATGCTGCAGCTATATTAGTAGTATAGTTGTAGTACGAATGGGTTGGCTCGACCTGGGAAGGACCACGCTCTCACAGAATACTAGCGTCAAATAGCAGCTTAACACTGCTGTGTTTCGTATGGTGAGTGTAGAGAACCGGAGACCCTTTTTACTGGAAAAGAGGCATTTCATCTTAGTCTTCACGAGTGACAACGCATCTACATTTTGATTCGCAAACGAGAATAGATGTAGATGTCTATGGGCCTCAGCAACCACTTACCATCAGGTGGACTGTGTGTATAAAAAAAGCCAGTTAAGAAAAAATAAACAATTTCCTCTTGTAAATACCTAATCAATTTTTTAGAGAGTAAAGATGACAGACGAGCGCATGTTGAGTGGATGCTATGACATGCAGACATGATGGGTGGATGCTATGACATGCAGACATCTATATATTCTTAACTAACCTAAAACATGTAAACGCCGGCTTCAAAAAGCTAAAAAGAATAAAATGATTTCACATTCTGGGGTCAGTGCTAAGACAATAGAAGAAAGCCCCGACTTAAGAATGTGAAATTATTTTATCGGTGGATGAAAAAATAATAATTAACGGAGACCTATATATTCCTAACTAATCTAAATTTACTTTTAATGAAAACTAAAAGCCGATTGATAAGGGTAAAATAATTTCACATTCTGTAGTCAGTGCTACATAGTGTATGGAAGAATTGAAGACCTGGACTTAATTAAAAAACCGGAAGGCTGGCTACTTTGCGTCTGTGCTCAAGACTGATTAGATTGGTTTTAACCATATTGTTGTCACCAATAAACCACTTAGCATTAGCACATCTTTCCATTGAGTCTGTCCATATTGTCCGCATAGCAAAGGTTAAAAACTTAACTTCCTTGCAACTGCTCTGGCCCTGGACTCAGTGAACCGCCCAAAGTTACGTTTGTAGCATACCTCAACACCCAGCAACTGAAGGCGACAGGTGTATTCCAATCACACATTTTGGAAAGATAGAAAGTCAAGGTGAGCTAGCTACTTTTATGTCGTGAAGATAAATAATGATATAATATACCGTTATTGCAGTTTTTGAA